CTGCGGTAGTGCTGTGGGTCTGCGTTTCAGCCCTTGATTAAGCCTCTGCTGCCTTAACTGTAGTTACGTGACACCCTAATAACCATTTTGTATCTTTGTTCCCAAAAGAGATGGAAGTATGAAGTATAACAAGTAAATTAAAAGGCTAAGCCGTGCTTGTGTCCCTCCTACCTGTATTCATCTCTAAGTGAAACAACCTTTTCTCATGGTGAGGGACTGCAAGCAGTGATAAAAATAATCTTTATCGGTGAAGTGGCTTCCCTGTTCGTTTCCTGAAACAGGTGGCTTTTATGGGCTTCAGCTGCCAACAGAGAGCTGCCACATAAAGACTTGGTGCTGTCACAGTTAAGAAAATGTAAGAATTTGGGATACTTTGCAGCACGACTTTTTCAGCACAAAACCCTTGCTTAGCTTCTACATAGCATGAAGCCTTGTGGGCAGCTGATATTTTTGCCTTTGTTTTTGGTCAGTGAGATAACATCTGCCCTCTCCATGACAACTCATTTCCCATACATTTAAAAATGAATTGGAGCACCTGGCTTTCGCTCTGCGGGGCTGGGGCTAACCATCTAATCATTAGACCTTTCAAGACCAGAAAAAGGAGTGGTACAATATGGCTTTCAGGCAGTCTTTAAAAAAAAAAAAAAATCCGAAATGCTTTAACGTTAAGAATAGCAATACCTCAGTGAATACCAGCTTTTGATCTGAGGCAGAATGTGTTTCCAAATTCATTTCACGCTGTGCTGTTTCAGTGAATATAACCACTTCACCCAGGGATCTTACTCCTGGACCTTCCGCTAAACTTCAGAAAGCAAGCGCTTAAAGTTAGGACAGGTGATTTCTGCTCTACTCCCTGCTCTGCCACAGAGCCGCTGTATGATGGGCCAGCTCCCTATTTAAGTCTTTGGGAGATTTAGCTGGTAGTGAAGGCAGCATCTCCCTCATCACACATGGTTGCAATTGCTCCAGGATGAAAAGGCATATACTGGTATAGCTCACGCTGATTCAGCCAAGTGCAATAAGCTAGAGTTGTCTTGTACTAGTACGACTGTGCTTGTCTGTGAACTGTTAACAGCACACCTGTGGTTGTTTTTAAACAATTTACTTGGCTCTCACAATCCAAAAAGTGCCTTCAAACAACTTGCATCCATGTGCATAGCTTTCCAACTCACTTAAAATTCAAGTTCAGTGACTGAGTTGTCCCCGTCTTTGAAGTAGTGGGTCAGCAGTGAAGACCAGAGCCTTGAAACAAGGCAGCCATAAAAACTAGCCAAAATTCAAGTACTGGCCAGAATCGTGTCCTACATTTGCGTGAATGTCCAGCTAAAGTTGTGTAGACAAACTGTCCCGGCACCCACTTTTGTCCCTATTTCATATTATTATTATATTAATTCCCAACCCCACTTCAGGAGGTTTCGCAGCAGACCCCAGCCTGTCTATCTCTAGAGGAAAGCAACAAATCAGGGAGGTGGTGGGATCACAGCAACCAAAACTGGAACCAGAGCAGCAGCCTGGTGGGTGAGTTCCCCACCAAAAATAGAAAAAAGCCCCAGCAGAACTGAAGAACGAGTGCCCAGGGCAAGTACTTCAGGTCCCTGGCAGCTATAGTTCTTTTTACAGCTCTCACCCTGCTTCTGGGTAAAGGGAAGCTAGATGCTTCTGGCCGTGCTGAATTGTAGGAGAAGTGGGTCAGATAGAGCCCAACCAACCGCAAAAACAAGGATACTAGAAGGCACGCAAACTGCAGTTTCTGTAAGGCATCACAGTATTATTTTGAATAGAAAAGTGCTGGAGTTAACCACAAAATTTTCTTCTATTAAGGGTGTGATCATTTGATGAAATACTGAAACTTTTTACCAGCTATGTTAGTGGGTGGAGAATAACTGGAAGATATTTTTTTCCTATTGAGAAAAATACCACAAGCAGATTTTTAGTGACTGGAGACAGCAATATCAGTTTCTGCTTTTTCTGTCCCTTTCTGTTTTAGCTGAGAAACAGCCACTGGTTTACAATTTTACTGAGCTTCATTTCTGTTCTGGGGGATGAGCCAGGGTCGGGTCTGTGACCCTGGTCAGCCAACATGTGATGCGACTGTCTCTAGAAAGCAAGTGGAGTCTTTAGTGCCAAATATTTCTGTCTCCTGTTATTTACCTTCCGTGTGCAAAGGTTGCAGGAAGTAAATGGTTTGAAATTATGATTTTATCTTTTTCTTTACCATTCATTCCAGATAAACTTTGACATTTGCAATAGCTGTTATTTTCCCTGCTGGGATACAATATTGTCATTGTAAAGCCAAATACTGATTTAGAGCTGATGTCCAAAGTTGATTTTAGTCTAGCGTTTCAGAAGCCTCCAGTCTGGAGAATACAGATGATTGCAGCTTTTCTGATGAGAATGGTTGTTTTGTTTTTTCTTTAAGTTAGAAGATGATGACTCACAAAAACTCAAGCTTTGTTTTGTGGGAATGTACCAGTTCTGCTGGGAAACTTTTTTTGGGAAAGGCTTCTCAGGTCCAGTAAGGAATTTTGGGTCAAAATGTCAGGCATTTGAGAGGAACTGGTCATGTCACGGGTACAACATTTGCCAAGGACAGCAGAGACCTTGATGCAGTTTCTGGATTTAATAAGACAATCTGGACCTCCTACCTCACAGGCAACTGCTGACCACTGGTCTGCTGGCTGGAAGAGGAATGATTTCTCTCTGCCACGTCCTTGCAATGAGATTTGGGAAGTATTTAATTTTATCCTGACGTAGAGGAGAAAACATGGGAAAATGCTTGCAGGATAAGAATCTTTTTCCTCCCAGATGTCCTGGAGGCCAAATGTCTTTTCTGAACTGTTATTAAAATTTTTAATTTTGCGTGAATGAGTAGTTTAGTACTAAAAGAAGTGTCACACTATGAATAAGGCATGGATCTGGAAAACAGGAGAATCAGCTTCAGTCCTCTGTTACAGTGTGGTCTTTTACAGGTCACTTGACATTGCTGTGTCTCTGGCTATAATTTGGTAAGAAGCAGTTTTATCAGCAGCCACACCACTTACAACTGAGTGGCCCTTCCAGCCATTCGTTCCCACTATTGTATGTTCCCTTTGGGTGTGTCCATGCTTGCCAGCATTTGTAAAACCATCCGTGATGTATCAGCCAGAGGACCAGCTCTGAGCTCAAATGACCTGTCTGTTTTTAATCCAGGTACTTCCACTGTCTGGTTAACCATGTGACTGCACAAATGCTTGCGCTGGCACAACTGACGAGATGGCACAGGGACAGGAACAAGCAACAGGAGGGGATGGAGGGCTGCCAGAAGCAAGTTCATTGAGATATTGCCTCCGTTTTCCTTGTGCAACAATAGTTGTTTGTCATTGTGTAACACTGGATCCATGGAAGAAAATGCCAATTTAACAGCTAGGTAGTGAGAAAGCTGCTCATTAAGATTTTTTCAAGCATTTGTCTGTTTGCTTGAGTAAACGTCCAATAATTACCGAGTTTGAATATTTTACTGCCAGCTGTTCATCAAGGTTAGTTATGGGTGAAGCTTTCATTAGGCTTTAAGCTCCTTAGTCACTTCTCCAAATGTTTCCTTCTATCCTGCTGTCTAATCTGGTATCAGCATAGCAGAAATCTTATTAATTAAGGACCTTTTATAATCTGCTCCCCAGCCTGTGGAATGCATTTACCATTGCCGCTCACAGGGCTGAGTCCAAAGCAGGATGTTGCTGGTCATCTGGAACATCAACCACAACACACACAGGGACATGCTCAGACTTTGGTCTGTGGTGGATCAAATTGTCCTGTAAGAGCAGGAACATCCTATGCAGTCTAACATTGGAGCTTCAGCTACAGGGTAGTAGCAGTATCCACCACAAAAGGTGGACCGCTGGGCAGTGAGATTGTTGCTGAGAAAGCATTCTGCATGTGCAGTCTGTCTCCTGTACTATTAATATGCTATTAATATGCATTAAGAGAAGACCTAGAGATGTAGAAGCCAAGTGAGGTTGATAAGTTTGCGAAGATATCTATTCAGTATCTAAATCTAAACCTGATGATAAGTGATTTATAAAGGTTTGTGACAATTAGGCTTTAGGAAGGCCACTGGAATTAATAGGCATGAGCTAATTGAGTAATATAGTAAGAGTATGAACTGAGAGAAACCCTAAGGAGAGTCGTCTTATACATTCTTATGTATATCCTTATACATCATTATGTATATTCTTATACATGCTATATACAGTCCAAATTAAGAAGGCAAAAGTATGGACCATCACAGCCCCCCTGGCGCTTGGTTTGTTCATCCAGAAGCTGTATGTCACTGGGCAGTGTACCTGAGGAGGGTGTGTGGTCCAAGCCCGTCCCTCCCCGTGGACAAAGATGGCCTCAAGGACCTCGGGGACAGCCAGGGACACAGACAGTGCTGCAAGAGTCTGTGATTGCTGCTTGCTTTCTTCTCGGATAGCCTGTTCGTGGCGTTATAATCAGGGGTTTATCAGAACACTTTTGTAATGTTCATTTTTAAGCTGGTCTGATGGAGGGAGTAACTCAATGAGGCTGAAAAAAAAAAGGGCACATGGCTCCTTCAGAGGAGCAAACCTGACATAGGCAGTCCTTGGGAATGTACCTGCGGCTAGAAACGAGGCCACGAATCTCAAGGGTAGGCTGTGCTCCTGCCAAGCTGCTGGGTCACTGCAAGTGCTGCTTTCGCAAAGTGCCGGGCTGCGAAGTGCGCTTAGTACTACTGGGAAATGGCAAGAAGCAGTTGGCAAATACAGCTCCCAGTATCCCCTAAATGATCACAACTTGCCCAATTCAGTGCTGTCTACTTATTTTCATGTTGTTGGCCATAATACATTTGCAAAAGGCAGAATACTCAATATTGGCTAGTAGGCGTTTTTGCAGTATTAGCCCGGGCATGTCTGGCTGATTCTTCCAGGTTTTCGGGGGCAGGGGTGTTCCTGGTACTGCCTATTTTGCTATTTGAGTGTGCCTTCCTCTTTTCTTCCTAGGGAATGGCTTTTACGCTTGAAGAGCGGCTACAGCTGGGAATTCATGGCTTACTTCCTCCTTGCTTCTTGAGTCAAGATGTCCAAGTCCTCCGTGTCATGAAAAACTACGAGAACAAATCTAATGATCTAGACAAGTGCGTCAAAAAAGTATCCCCCCCCCCCCTTTTTTTTCCCTCAGTTCTTTAAAGTCCCCAGGAAGACTTGAGGATCCTGTTTCGAGGCCCACAGGTTTCCTTCAGAGTCACTTTTTCCACCTGCCAGTAGTCTGCAGCACCAAGAGTGCCTAGACTGGACGTCAGTTATGTGCCATCCCGGTCACAAAATAGCAGCGATATTGTTTTTTTGTACTACCATATAGCCAGAGAGCTCTTGTATTAGCCTGACACTTCACTATACCCTGTTAGCATGTTCATCATCACATCTACACAGATTTGTCAGGCAGGAAATCATTCCCAGTCTTTCATAGCCTGTTGATTTTTTTTATTTTTCTGGCTGCAATTTGGCAGAGAGCAGGAAAACCCTTTGTGCAAATGTGACATATTCTAAACTACTAAGTGATCATGTAAAGCCAGTGATGCACATGTAAATGTGGACAACGCTAAGAATGCAAAGTTGATTTAATGTTTTCATTTTCTAAAATAATATTTTTAATATTCCTCTTTCAAATATGATATTTTGCTATCTTGATGTGTTTGGTGCTTAACTGAGAATGCAGGATAAAGGAGAGAGAGGTTTTGTAGAAAAATTTTAGGAAAAACAGTGCTTTGAAAATTGCATATTAATATTTGCATATATGTAGATATAACCTTATAGATTGTTTAATAGATTTAGATACTACAGATTGTGTCCTGTTCTGTCTCAGGTGGTCCTGAAGACTACATTTGACCTTTTCCATTGCATTTGTTTCTCATGCAAATTCAGAAAATCTGAGAATACGTATGGGTCTGATTTTCAGCTCTACTGAGTCTTTGTAAGCTGTCATTGAGGACTGTGGAGCTGGACGTTAGGTCCTCTGAGAAATCTTGCTCAAAATGTCTATTTGTAGCCTAGCACTTTGGAGCTTTAGGGATTGGAAGTGTTAGTACTGAATCAACTGACTGCTGCTTTTAATTAAATTGCCAACATGCAGAAATACTAATATGTATCTGTTTCATTTTACTTTTAAGGTACATTGTCCTTATGACATTACAAGACAGGAATGAGAAGCTTTTCTACCGAGTGCTGACCTCTGACATTGAGAGATTCATGCCCATTGTTTACACCCCAACAGTCGGCCTGGCTTGTCAGCAGTACGGTTTGGCTTTCAGGAGGCCACGGTGAGTGAAGTGAACGTTCTTGCCCCTTTTCTTAATGTGATGTGAATGTTTCTTTTGTATTGAAAGTCTGTCTTTCTGTGGGTGGCCCAAAACATCTAAACTTGATCCTTGATCAAAAAATAGTCTATCAATCAAGCAACTTGATATGTGTACATTTGATGATGAGCTGGGCAACTGAGAGCAACTCTGTCTTCTTCCTATAAACAGCGAACAAAGTAGTTTTGTTCTTAAACGGTACTGTACGGTCTGTAACTTAGCTCCCAATGTCTCTCTGAAGTTACTGTTGCACCGCTCCCCATATGCTGTCTCCAGAGCCCTCAAGTTCTTTCTGCTGTGCTGGCCTTTGAGTGATCTTTGGATTTTGGATACATTGTGCTAATTTGAAACTTTTGTATGCACTTCAACAAACTGCCCTGCAAAAATCATTTTCTTTGGAGATGATGCTCTGCATCAGTGCCTTCCTCTCTGGTCAAAACACTGAGTAAACTGATGCAACATTAAGTCCTATGTACCATCTTGGAAAATCCTATTCTGCATCATTCCTTTTAATGATTGATGTTTAAATAAGCTACTCATTAGCATTCTGAAGTAGGATTTTTAGGGCTATCCTGAAAATTCAAAAATAAGTTTTAGTTTTCTTAGCAAGCTTTTTATTTTTTTTGTCCTTGAAACGTACCAGGAGGCAGATAAACACTAGCTTTTGCTATAGAAATATGCCTGCTGAAGGAGTGGAATAATATTATGTTTGAAAAGTATTGCCCACAAGCATCAGGCTAAACTACAGTTCCAGCTGAGAGAAGTAGTATGATAGATGGGGAAACTGAGGCAAGTTCCAGCAACTGACTCAAGGTCACAGTGAGGACTGTGAGGCAGGCCTTGAAGATGAAAGGCCTCTGTTTACAGATAATGACAAATGACATATTATGGTTAAGATTATCTTGTGCAAACCTACTCACACCCTGCTTGCTGTCAACATTTCTAGTAAAGCCGCTGTGTTCCTTCACGTTCCGGAATTGCTTCTCCCTCATAGAGCTGGTCCTCAGAGTTGCTTTTCTGCCTGCATCTATCCCAACTCATTGCGTTCTGCTCCCTGACACCCAAATTTTTGAGCTGCTGCACTGAGAAGACAGTCATCTAGTCAAGCCTTGATCATATCCCCTCCTTCTCAGTGCATAAGAGAAAACCAGAGAAGGAATTTCCCCCTTTGCAGGGGGAGAATGCTTTCTTCCTCTAGGTGGAGGGAAAAAGTAGGAGATAACAGATTCGTGACTATCCCCATGTGTGGAGTTGTGAGCAGCAAGGCAGTGAGTGTATACAGCAAGGAAGAGCACACTACTGGTTCTCCGCTCATCAAGAGACATACCTGGCAGCTCCTGACCTGCAGCACCATGTACAGCCACTGTATCTCTGGCTCAGGTCTACCTTTACCTTACAAAAACAGGTTCAAACAATTCTGGGGAGTTTTGCTTCATTTGGTTTCCAGTCATGTTGTCATCTTGGAGAAAGCAGTAGTTTCCTTCCGGATGCTGGACTCTTTCTGCAGTTGTTTCTATTGGAGAAGTCCTCTTCCTGTAACTCTTTTCTTTCTTATTTCTGAACCCCAGATTATGATGTTCTCATAGTCTGGCAGTTTTGCTGCTGACCCTGGGCTTGGAGCTGTTCTGGATTCCAGCCTTTGGCTTCTTCAGAAAAGGGCAGACTCAGTACACTGAATTTCCTTTACTGGGGAGTTTGTTTCTGTGAAGATGTACAGTGAATTTCAGCCTAGCCTCAGATTTGATTTTAATCAAAGTTGTTTTAGCAAAATAGCTTTTTTTTTCAAAAAAACAAAGAGCTACTATATCATTTAAAGTGATGAGATTAAAATGACAAGCATTCATACATGTCTTTTTTTTTTTTTTTTTTTAGATTTTACTTTTTTTGTCTTGCCATAAGTAATTTCTTTCCTGAGCATAATATGTACCTCAGGAGCTGGCTTGCAAGATGCTTAGTTCAGGGTAGGATGCCAGTGCTTTCTGCTAAAAACATTGGGACCTGCAGATCTAGGGAGCTCTGCAATTAAGACTTAGCTTTCAATTTCTCTTGCCATATTTGTTATCCTAAATGGCACTGACAGTTGGAAAAGGTGATTCTTCTAAACTATTCTTTTGTATCAGAAGGGTTTTAAAACATAATGATGACCAGATAAATATTATGTTCTGATATAGTTCATTGTTGTTTTAAGAAGGACATAACACCTATGGTTGGAGAGGATTTCCAAGTCATTCAGTTAGTTACACTTTGCTGATACAAAAAAACATATCATATAATCCTGTTCATTAACCGATTACATTATTTTAAATCTGCAGTAAAGCTGCACTGTGTAGCCCGTTCCCATACTTAACTATCTTATAAGTAGAAAGTGTGTTGCTCTAATATGTAACCTAAATAAATGTCCTTTGCAAGCCTTTTCTTGGTAGAAAACAGTTATCGTGTTCAGCCTTGTGGTTTTCCTGGCTGTAATTCATGCTGTTCTGTTCTCATTGCTCCACTCTGGATTCTCCTGTTTGGCCACATTTCTCTTGAAATGCAGCATGGAAAGGTGGGCAGCGTTTCCTCATGGAGGAACTGGCAGTGCTGGGAACAGTGGAGCAGATATCCAGCGTGCCCTCATCTTTTACAGCATTATCACATTGCTGAGTCCATGCTCAGTGGCTGGTTGCTACAGCTTGCATTGTCTTCTGCACTTGAGTCTTCTCTTCTTGTTTTTGATACAGTTACCCCAGGAGATATATCCCTCTTCATAGCTGTGCTTATCGTTTCTCCTTGCTGTGTGTCCTACTTGGAATTTAGCCTTGTCTGGAACAAAGCAAATCTTGTACAAGAACATCTGACACTACTCCCATGAGGTCCAGCAGGGCTTCTCACATGAGAATAAGTATATCAGTGTTTGCGTGGCTGCAGATTTTGTTTGTCAGATACAGCTGTCAGAACTATGGGGCTCAATGCCTCTTTTACCTTTCCTGGTGCATGCAAACTCATACAGGTAGACGTAGCTCCTTCACTTCTGTGAGGCTGGAATTTTCGAGTTCTCCTGGATCAGGCCGCCAGCATCCTCTGTACTAACAGACTTAGCTACTCCAAATGGGTTCAAGCAGCTGCTTTTCTTTCCTTTTGAAAAGCTAGTCAGACATCAGTTTAAAAACGTGGGTTTTGTTTGTCACGCAGTAGAAAAGAGCTACTGGGAGAAAACACTAACATCCAACTCTTTGCATTCTTTTCTATGATGCCCATAGTCTTACCCTCTTCGGCTAATGTGCTAGGCAAAGCTCCTGACTTCGGATGCCCCAGCTGGCTCCTGTCTCTCTCTGCCCTCCCCGAACTCCTATTGCCTTTCACTTCAGAAGGAGTAGCTTTCAATTTTCCAGGCAGACTTTGGTTTTTCTGTGGCCTCAGGGTTCTTCCTGATGAAAACTCAGGTTTTCAGAATGGCTAGAAGAGAGGTAGAACCATCAAGATATTAAAAACAACATTCTGGCATTGTCCGCTACAGCTCTGAAGTTTTTGCTGGAAGGCGTCTTTCCTGAATCACATTTTTCCTATCCAGTTTTCCAGACAGTTCCCTGCTGAGTTACCAATATTAATTTATTCTCAGTCGTACAATAAGCATTAAAATCCTCACGCCAACCTACAGTGCTTTTTAATGTTTACTTTATGTATTTTAATAAAAAATATAAACTATTAATAATCTATAAATATAGGATGAAGTACCAAGCAGTAGCACCTATGTCACAGTTATGGTAAAGACCCTGTCAAAATCTCTCTTCAGTGCCAAATGAGAACATGCTAAATAGCCCATGAGAAGAGCTCACCGGAAGTCTTCCCAGCCACTGATCCTGTCTGCCACAGTGGCCAGTGATGGGTGCCTCAGGAGGGGTATAGATTAGGGTAGGCAAATAGGCCTCTGTGGTGCCTATTAGGCCTATGTGGTGGACGAGGCAACGGGCACAAACTGAAACACAGGCAGTTCCATCTGAACATGAGGAAAAACTTCTTTCCTGGGAGGGTGACAGAGCGCTGGCACAAGTTGCCCGGAGAGGTTGTAGAGTCTCCTTCGCTGGAGATGTTCGAAACCCGCCTGGATGCGATCCTGGGCAATATGCTCTAGATGACCCTGCATGAGCAGAGGATTTGGACTAGATGATCTCCAGAGGTCCCTTCCAACCTCAACTATTCTGTGATTCTGTGATTCTGTGATTCTATGATTAGGCTCACTTCCTTGGGAGAAGGAAATCCTTCTGAGATTATGCTCCTCGTCCGTTTGTGCCTCCAGGTGTTGCAGTTTTGTTACAAAACTCTGTTGGCACTTTAGTCTTCACAAGATCATAATTTGATTCTGGAACAGTTCAGATGGCTCCCAGGTGTGTTCACATTGTCGAGGCCAAAGCATATTGCTGGCATAAGAAGTGTCGCAAAGTAACAGCATTTGTATCAGATATAGGAGTAATTCCAGATGTTCAAGGTAACCCAGATTTAAGGGAGACGATGTTCTTGCTGAGCTGTATAGATACATGGCCTTTGAGAGAGGGCTGCAAGAGCAGCTTTGCAGTCTGTCTTCTGCAGTCCTCCCATGCTTTGTGCATGCAGTAGCCTTGCTGGCATTCCCCAGATCCCCAGCACAAGGAGGGGCCAGTGGTGCCCAGTGCTGGTGCTGCCCACCAGCATGCCAGCCGTGCCATTCCACAACCACATGAAGCAGGCACAGCCCCTGAAAGCAGCAGTGCCACCCAATCCATCCTTGGTTATTCACTTCTCCTTTCTGCCACCCTCGTGACTGCCCATGTGTCCATGCAGCTGTGAAGTGATCTAGTTCAGGGATAAATCTGGGTCAAGCCAAGCTTTTTTGGGGCCGGGCTGGTGGTAATCCAGATCTGCAATTCACTGTCAGCTGCAAGGAGAGTTATGCTGGCATGAGGAAAGGCATGCACAGAAGCAGGATCAAGCTGCTGAAGGTGGTGCTG